GAGCTTGAAATCCTGCTTGGCTGACATTGTGGGGGTCTCCTGGCCAGTGCATGTGAAATGTCCTTTGATCAGACCCTGATTCTTTTTTATTGGGGAGGGGCAGTGCTCACCTCCCCAGGACTCTTTGTGGTTGCTGGCTCCACCCTCCCAGGAGGTCTTTTTCCCAAAAATCTCCTTAGTCACATCTGAAATAGTGATGACAAGCATATGTTCCTTGGGGCCGAGTTCCTGCTTAGAGGTGGTCGGGGGACTGAGGTTCAGTTCATGATTAATTGTGAGAGCGCTCTCAAAAACGTAGTGAGCTTCTCTAAGTCGGTTCTTTCTGTGGCTTAATTCCTAGAACATCTCTATTTCTTGGTGTTTTCATTCCTATAACTCCTCTCTCCCACTTTTAGTGTAATGGTAGGTTCCTAGAACTATATCCTTGCTCTCATTACTCTGAGTCCTTTTACCTAATTAAGGGATTTCCAGATACTTCATTTTGATTCTCGCCTGTAGGAAATTTATTTGGTTGCAAGGTTTTACCGGGTACCTCTCAAGGGCTTCTCCAATCTCATCTTTTGCTTTTAGGGCATAGAAATAAGTAATTTCCTATGCCTCCCCCCAACCCCCAACCGTGCAAGGCACTGAATTTCTGGACTGTCTTCGTTCTGTTTCATTCCTTTTTGCAAATCTGCCATCCCTTTCCCGAGCCCCTTGCTTCTTTGGGTTACCTCGCCAAGCGCAGGAAACAACATCTAACACACACAGCTGACTCGCTTCTCTCCAGTCTTCTCCCCTAGGGTGCTTACTGTACCTATACGTACAATGTCTGCCTCTCGAGTTGTTGTTGGGCAACAGTTTTACCAGGTGCTCTGCTGCTGTATCACACCAGACATTTACCTGGCCTGTAATGGCATCGTCATCACAGGTTGCCCCCTGGACCACCCCTGACAACGCCACCATTTCAGCCTTTGCTGTTGGAAGCCCCTCACTCCTGGATATCAGTGTCTGTATCCATATGTATACTGATAGCATTTGTTTTTATCGGGCCGGGTGAATGCTTGTCGGCATTCCAGGCTACCTTCCACTCCTGCGGTGTTTACATCATGTAGGCCCCTGCAATTTAGGGCTTTGTCATTTCTAGCTCTCCCAGCATCATTTTCCCTGCCGATAGCTCCCAGATCAGCTCGAATTATAAAGACCTCAAACTCAACCAAAATCATAATCTCCCCAAGGGTTGTGCTTTCCTCCTACATTTTTTTTTTTTGCAGTGGCCTCTTAATTAATAAGCAAGGTGTTTGTAAAGCCAAGTCCTCTCATTGCAGACATTACAAGCCGTAATCTGTAACCGCAGAGCTGTCTTTCCCCATGTGTCTCAGCCTGGAGTGAAGGGGCTCTGCTGGGATTTCTCACCTCGCTGCAAAACCTTTGCTAAGTAGCCACCAAAGGGCTCCTCATTACTCAAAACTCTTCCAATTCCTTAAACCAGAGTCCTCCCCAAACCTCACACAAGTTGCTGATGTTCCAAGGGAACTGAATTTGGGACCTTCTCACTCAACTATTTTGGCCTGCCAGCATTTCTTGATTAGATTCTCCCTTTTTGAGCAGAGATGAAACCTCTTGAGGGTCGAATTTGTAAAACGAAATGTCTACATTTAACGACCAACATCCCCAGTTATCCCATGTCGTTATGGCTAATATACGTGTGTTTTTCTTTCCATAACCAGGCTTTATTTTATTTTATAGTTTATTGAAGTATAGTCGGTTTACAATGCTGTGTTAATTTCTGGTGTATAGCACGGTGATTCAGTTACACATATACATAATTATATATTCCTTTTCATATTCTTTTTAATTATAGGCCATTACAAGGCATTGAATCTAGTTCTTTGTGCTATACAGTAGGACCTTGTTGTTTATCTATTTTTTATACAGTAGTTAGTATCTACAAATCCCAAACTTCCACTTTATCCCTCCACCCCTCCCCTTTCCCCACTGGTAACCACAAGTTTGTTTTCTATGTCAGTGCATCCATAACCAGGTTTTAAACTCATTAAGGTAGAGACTACAGTCCAGTTTATTCCCTGTAATGCAGCATGGCTTTCAGCACATGGGAGGGCACACAGAAGTTTTGCAAACTTGGATGCTTGACCAGCGGTCATGTTTCACCACATGTAAGGCTGTATGTGACACGTTCTTGGGACCACGGAGTCTCCTGCTGTCTCTTTCTGTGGACCCTGGGAATTGTGCATAGAGCATCTTAGCTGTCAGTGTGTGGATGGACAGCTCTACTTGCATAATTGGAAGTCTTAAAGCTGGTAGCAGATGGGTTCTGGGCAGTACACGGCCAGTTAGTAAAGGGCTTCCCATAATCTGCTGTGTGTCCACCATCCATTCTTCACTATGTCCCAGTACTAGCAGGTGACCACAGTATAAGACGGGCTTCATAAATATTAGATGAACTAATGATCTGGATCCCTTGATGCTGTTCAAACTTGGAGATGGCTGCTTCCTAGTCTGACATCCTGATAAGTTAGTTATTTTTACCTTGATGGGGGAAAACTTTGTGACCACTACATGTAAAAAAACCCGTGTTGCTTTCTTCTTACATGAAAAATCATTTCATTTTTCTCTGCAATCGAGCAAGTCCTTCTATATCGAATCACATGTTCTTTTATTCCAGGTGATTTATGGTTCCTTTTTTCAGGATTGCTGGTGTGGTCTTCTCTGCATTGAGGTATGGAGAAGAGACCACTGAAGAAAGTAAGGGACTCAATCCACTCAGTTTCATATGCTTCTCATGGTCTGTTGTATATACTGCTTTGGTAGCTTGTGTGACACAAGCAGATCCGCGATCCTGGCTCCTGATTTCACGGGGCTAGCTTCACCGAGTACAGGGAAGGACGTATCCAGTGAGGCCTTGAAAATTCTCTGTAAGATGGGCTCAGGGCTTCCGTCTGCCTGGAAGGTGCTGGCTGGAGACTTGTCTTGAATCCATGCATGCATAGAAAATACGCTCTTTTCGACTCACAGACATAGAATACAAACTTGTGGTTGCCAGAGGGTAGAGGGGTGGGAAGGGACAGACTGGGAGTTTGAGATTTGTAGATACTGACAGGTAGATAAAGAATAGATAAACAAGTTTATACTGTATAGCACAGGGAAATATATACAAAATCTTAGAGTAGTTCACGGTGAAAAAGAATATGAAAATGTATGACTGAAAAATTGTGCTGTACACCAGAAATGGACACAAGATTGTAAACTGACTATAATTCAATAAAATTAAAAACAAAATGAGGGAATATGAAGCCAGATGCAGCACCAAATAATCAACGTGACTTTAAGGCAGTAATGATTACTTCATGTGGGGAGGGAGGGAGACAAGTTTCTTCTGAAACATAAAGATTAGTGTTCCTTTACAGGTTATCAGCCCACATTCTTGACAGGCTGCTTAAAGGAAAATTGTGTAAAATCGGATTTGAAGTTGCAATTTTTCTGCATCTCCAAGAATTAGTATTTCCCACAAACAGAAATACTAAACTGTGCATCATATGTCAGTTCTCTTGTAAGGAGGGCTGTTCTTTTTTCTGAGTTTATGTGCTTTGCAATTAGTTAGGTGTTGCAATGACTTTCTGTTTTGAAAATAATAAAAAATAGCTGCTTTTTAAAATATCCTAGTGTGAGAAAACAAAAAGGTGACAATACTTAAAAAAAAAGAAAAGAAAAAGAAAATACACTGTTTTCATTTAGATTGCATTTTAGGGGGTGTATATTTAGACAAGAAGGCTGACAGAGGTTCCTGGGGGAAACTGAAGTTACGCCAAGTCCACGGAGACTCCAGAGAACCATCCTAAAACAACAGAAGCAAGTGTGAGGTAGACTGAATATGAGCACAGAGAATTGAGAGAGGGAACGATAATTCAAAGAGGTCATCCTAATGGGGCTAAACTTCCTGTTGTCCTGGAGGAGAGGTGCAGAGGAGAATCCACAGGCATGGAGAGAAGAAACAGGGTGAGAGGCTCGTGATCACAGAATTCTGATGAATCTTGGAGGGGCTTCTAGGGACCCGAGAGCTGCTTCCTCTTTATGCCCTTCATTTAGAGAAAATGGGGGTAGAGTTGTCCAAACATGTGATAGAGGAAACTAACCTTACCTGGCTAGGATGCGTCCTGCCTTATTAACCGAGCACATGTGATTTTTATCTGATCTTAATGGAGATTTAAGAAGTAAGTTATTGTCAATGGAGAGGGTATAGCACAGTGGTAGAGTGCGTGCTTAGCATGCATGAGGTCCTGGGTTCAATCCCCAGTACTTCCAATAAATAAACCTATTTTATAATACCCTCCCCTCAAAATAAACAAACAAAAAAAGTAAGTTATTGTTATTTCAGAAATGTCAGTGTATCTCTAGGCTACAATGCCTGGCATACAGGATGTGCTTAATAAATGTTGACTTGGACCGAACTAAGCCAAATTAACTTTTTTGCAGTTCATTTAAAATGACATGTCAGAGCATTTAAAAGCTCTACTTGCAAATCCATGTTGGTTGAAAAAAATCGAATCATCTTCAGAAGCTAGCCAGGGTAAAAGTTGTTTATAGGTTGTACGAATAATGGTGATCAATCTCTTTAGCATCGGGAAGAGTCTGAAACAGAATGCATTCAGGGAGACCAGGAAACTAGCTGCCTGGGGATATCATTCCTGAATCTCTCACGTTGCCATTCCTACTCATAAAATGGAGCAAAAGACAGTCGTCTGTTTAATACCCAGGCTCGTCAAAGGATGACATATCCCTTAAATCACAGTTCACATCGCGTGTCTAGAGAGTAGAACGTAAGGGGCATGACTTGAGCGCTCAGCCACTTTGTGGACAAACACGAAAGATCATGACAGCACCTTGTAATTTGGTTCATCTCGGTAGTAAATCTGTTAAGAAATTCCATGTAGTGTGAGGACAGAGGTGGGGGTGGCATTGGGGGAGAAGAAAAGGAAGACCTGGTCCTTTTACCGTCACCCCTTTGTAGGGTACCCCTTCACTTCCCCTTCAGGAAGTGGAACAGGAAAAAAAAAAAACTACGTTCGTCAGTAACTCTGGGTCAACCACAACTTAGACAGTAGTAAGCAGGTCAACCAAACGAAACAAGGACAGAGGTTGCTATAAAAGCCAACAGGTACTCTCGTGACACCACACAGGCACCCACGGGTGGACACACGCACCGAAGGAGGCTCCCGCACGAGGCAGGCAACCAAGCAAAGTGACAATGGGTATCCTGCGTGCCCCAGCCATGGTGAGTAGGCGGGATAACGCCTGTGTCTGTGCCGTCACGCCTGGGACTTCAGGAGAGCAGATCTCTTTCCTGAAAGAGGAGGAGGCTGGATTGGGATCTTATTTTCTTCTTTGGGGGCGGGGTGTCATTTCTTTAAAGAACAGAGCTGACTTTCATGCTGACCCCCTTCTGGTGGAGAAAAAGAAAATGTAACTAGACGTGATGATGGGGTGCAAACCCTAGCTCTTCACTGATGGCTTTTGCAGGGTTGCTGTCAGCTTGCGAGGTTCTTGGTGTTGCAAACCAGACTTGGTCTCTCCTGTGGCCAACGTCAAACTCATCTCATGGAAGGGCTTAGCCCGTCTTTGAGGATCTGCATATGTTAAAATAACCAAGGAACCAAGAAGTATAATGATTCCCTCAAGAGGACCGGCAGACAAGGAGTGCCCCAGATGGAAGCGGGACCACCCGGTGATGGACCTGGATAGCTCCTAGGGGAGGGGCATTTGCCCCACCTCTGAGTGCTGGTCCTTTTTGCATTGTCTTCTTCCTCCTGGAGGAGATGGGGGAGTTAGTGTGATGGAAATCTAGCTTCCCTGGGTCTAGAATCTTGCCTGGCAGGAGTCAGGTAAGTCCTACGAAGAATTTAAAATACAGGAGCATGAAAGTCGTGCTTGGGAAATCACTCACCATATTATTGGCTTAAATAATCCTTTTTTCCCCTCTCCTTACAAGTTATGCAGCTTGGATTTCATAAAAGGTCATGGCAAATGGTGATGAGAATACTATGTCCTATTCATACATTGCTTTGGAGATGACAAGAAATGCAGCCAAGGGCAGTCTTTAGGGGGCATGGGGTTTGGGGTCAGACAGATCGGGTTACTAAATGCGGGATTGGGGTACCTTACTTAGCTGCTCTGTGCAATATTCTTCCCCTTATCTGTTGAGGGGGGAATCACAGTGGCATCTTCCTCAGAGAAGGATTAATTGATATCATTGAGAATGACTAAATCTACACTCCAAAATAGCAGATCTGTGCAGGCATGGTTTTCAGTCAACTCGTCATTTCAAGATAACAACCAATAAGGGCAGAGAAAGCATTCAATATGTGTTAAATATTAATATTAATGATAATCAATGAGCCTCTCATCAGCCCAGGGAAGTGGATTGGGACTACTTCCCGCATTACACAGTTGAACAACCACCCAGTGAAGTTGAGTGATTTAACATCACTGTGTACCGTATGCCCAGGAATGGGGATGTGAATCTAGGTTTACTGGCTCCAAGTACAGGATTCTCCTCCCTGAATGGTTCAGAAGCAAGACTTCTGAATTTAAAGCCAATTAAAAAAATTTTTTTTAATGGAGGTACTGGGGATTGAAACCAGGACCTCATGCATGCGCTCTACCATTGAACTATTACCCTCCCCTCTAAACCCATTGTTTTAAAACAAATCCATTGGATAGTTTTGTGCTCTAAAGCCATGTCTATTCCCAATTTCTTTGAAGAAACCGACCTGTTGGACAGTCAGCAAGAAACATGAGCGGGCAAAGCACTTTAGAATAGAATTAAAAAATTGGAGGTGCAGGCAGGTAAGACCTCCTCTATATGGAAGTGAGGCAAATCTCTGTGGAATGAGGATTCTGGAGCACGTGCCTAGGTGGGGGTGAGCACGAATCATAGGTGAGTTCAGGAGACAAATGTTCAGATGTTCTCTTAGAGGCGCTCACAGGAGATCAGGCACAAAGTTGGACTGAGAATGTTGGGGTCCTGACTCTGCCCCCGCTTTAGCTGGTCCTTTCTCTTGCCCCTGTTTCCTGTCGTACAGAAAGGGAGTGATGTCCATTTACCTGCCTCATAGGTGACTAATAAGAATTTGAGAGGGAGGGCATAGCTCAGTGGTAGAGTGTAATAGAGGGTATTTCCCCTTCAGTTTCACAAACTACCATATTCAAAGGTGAGAGTTGTGGTCCTCAGGTCAACCTCTGGCTTTACTTACAATTTGAAATGAGAATCTCTGGCCATCTTGGGCCAAGGACATTATTGCCTGGCAAGTTAAAATATTACTTCACAGCTCAGTGACTGTAATTCCTCATGCCAGGAGCAGTTTTCAAAGATCAGGATTGGGGGGAGGGTATAGCTCAGTGGTAAAGTATGTGCCTAGCGTGCACAAGGTCCTGGGTTCAATCCCCAGTACCTCTGTTAAATAAATAAACCTAATTACCTCCCCCGTAAAACAACATCAGCAAACAAACAAAAAAGAATTGCCAAAAAAAGACTAAATTAAAAAAAATTTACAGATTCTAAAATACTCTGAACTTCTCAGACAAGTGCTGTGCTGTACGAGAACCAATGAAAATCTTATCTAAGCCCCTGCTCTGTGCTGGAGAACCACCAAAATCTACAGTTTCAGATCAGCAGCTTCGTGAAGCAAGCCAGAGTGATTTGCAGACAACACCTGATTTCTGATAAAGGGCATGTGGCCTACAAACACTCAGGCAATTCATAGCACTTTTTCTAGACAGAGGGTACGTGAGGTCAAATTCCACCTCCTTCCTGTCCATTATGTACCATTAGCAAGATGTCAGCTCAACGGTGGTCACCTGTACCGAATACCCTCCACGTCCGGCAGCGCTCTTCATGCTCCAGGTTGATCCTACCGTTCGATCTCCACATTCCCTGGTGGAGGAAACGGAGTCACAGCTAGTAAGCATCCTGGAACCGAGTTATGGGCCCAGGACTTCAGACTCCAGAGCCCGGGTCCTTTATCACCACACTATAGGGACAAGAAAGCCTCGTGAATGAATGAATGAATGAATGATGGTGGGCGATGTAAGTAGATGCCTGCTGATCACCTGGAGGCAAATCAGCCTCATTCAGGCTTATGTGGGTCAATCTTGCTTTTAACATCTTTTTCAGGATCAGCTACCTTAGTACAGCCCTTGACACCATGATCTTTTTGTTTCATCGTTTCTGGCCTCCAGCATCTGCAGAATATAAAAAGGAGATCCTTTAACCAACATGTCTAAGTGCCTTCCTTACCCTAACTCATGGAAGGTGGGAGCCCGAATAGTACTGAGCCCCAAGGATGAAAGTAACTCACTCTCAGCCCTGGTTCTGTGTGATGTTGAGAGTCAGTGTTGGGACCTGTCCGTCCGCAGTGAGGGTCAGTGGTCACGGTGGGGTGAGCAGAGCAGAAGAGCGACAGAGGGAGGCTGGAGAGATTTTTAGCTCTTCCTTGATTTTAGTTAGATCTTCATAGAGCATTCCTGTAACACCAGACAAAACGAAATTTCAACGTATGTGTAAAAATAGACATGCTCCTAGTTCCCATTTCTCTGGTGCTGTGCATTGTGGGGACCCCCCGCTTCCATCAGTCAGCCTGGACCACCAAGACTCTGCTGCAGTGGGTTTTGCAGAGTGTTTTTCTTGATGCGTGGATGTTGTTAATTTAACTGGATTGTTTTGTTCATTCATTCACTCACCTGCTCTTTCGTTCACCCAGAAAGTATTTTGGAACACCTGCTCTATGACATGTTCTCCGTCTAATAGGTGTAGATCTGCCTGAACACACGTTCTACATGCCTGGACAATAAGGAAGGGCTACTTGAGTGCTAGATGTAAAAGCTTTATGATTTAAGGGTAATTGACATATTTCTAATTGAACTACTTTTGGGGCAGTTCCCGGAGGAGACCACCTCCTAGCGGGGCCTCGATGGAAGGCTAGGATTTGGATGGATGGAGGTGGGGCTGTGGATTCCAGGTAGAGGGCAGAGGAAGGACTTGGTGGAGGATTCACGGACGTCAGGTTGGAAGTAAAAACAAGAGTTATCATTTCTTCAGCCTCTATTTGTATTACAGATGCTTTACAAAGAACATTTTATTTCATCTTGTGACTATTATCATCAAGCAAGTGTTATCATCTGGTTGAAAGAAGAGGAAGCAGAGGGTCAGTGAGGAGGCCAGGTCAGGGTTTACACCCAGTCCCAGGTCCCGACAGTTTTTCATCTCCCCGTTCGGGAGCTCTCGGACAGTGGGGACTCAATCACCAGGCTCAGGAGTTTAGTTCTTGGGTTGGTACCCTGGTACTGTTTCCTTGTGAGGATCTGTGGTTCAGAGAGAAGCTGTGATCCCGTAAAAGACCAAGGATGCCAGTTCAGCTGAAGCATGACCTGTCTCTTGTCAGCAAGGGACACCAGAGCCCCTCACCAATCACATCCTCCTCTATTTCCAGGTCAAGTCCCTGCTGCTGTTGATGCTGGTGTTCCCCATCTTGGGGGAGGCGGCAGCACGGAAAATACCCAAAGCCGGGAATACTGCCGTTTGCCCCACTCTGGAGGACCACACTGTGAGGGTTGACATCCGCATCCTCAGTCAGAAGCTGGGAGTGCCCCTCTCCCATGTCTTCCAGAACCGCTCCAGCTCCCCCTGGGATTACAAGTACGTGCCAAGGAGACTGACCTTCATGCTCTTTTGAAAAATACGTTAATTTGTTCTAACTATAAAGTAGAACATTCCAAAAATAGAGAAAAAATAGCCCCCACATTCTTAAAAACAAAAACCCCACTTTACCTGGGAGCTGACATTTTCTTGCTGTTTTGGGCTAAGTCCTCCTATGAGGTCTAAGGTCCTACTCTTCTCCTTCCAACCTCCCATCTCTGCCTTTTTCTGCTTCATGCAGCCCTGGATTTGGAACTTACAAACTTTCTGTGTTGAAAGACAGGGCTCTTTAAAGCAGCCTACGTAATTACCTCTGCATGGGGTAAGTGGGAGCCAGAAAAGTCAGTTCAGAGAGATCCACTCCAATGAGACTCCAGTCTTCAAGGAGTGTGGAGAGGAGGGCAGAGCGGAGGAGAAAAGGCAATTTGGGAAGTGGGATCCTAGGCGGGGATGTTCAGGGTACAGTCTTGGGATTTTTGTCTTCCATGGAGGTTCTTAGGATACCAAGAACTCATTTATCATTTATGTGCTGTAAATATAAGCATGAAAACAGAGTCCAGGGACCATCAGAAGTGCTGCTGGGGCCGCCTGCATTGCTTCCCATGGGAGGGGATTGTGTCCAGTGGCCGGTTGGCTGGATTGGCTCTGCTGCCTTTATGCCTCCTGGCAGAGGGAGCTGCTGAGGGAGAAACTGAAAGAAGGCACTGGATTCACAAACCTCTGGGGTTTTGGTTTTCTTTCCCAAGCAGCAGGCTTTGTAGACTGTGTATTGGGAGACCTATTGCAAAGTTCAATCTCTAAGGAAAGGATGAATAATGATTATAACAACAGTGTAAAGAAAATAAAAGATCTAACACGTTTGGAACGTCAACGTTTTACAGTGTGACGTTGCACATGCGTTTGCATCACTGAGTATTTGCAACAATCCCACGACAATCCCACGGGAGAACTGTACGAGAATCTCCGCTTTATAGTTGCGGGAACCGAGGCGTAGGGAGTTAAGCAGCCGCCAGGGGGCGCCATGTGAGTCCAGGCTGGCTGCTCCCAAGCCAGCGCCGCAGCCCTGAGTTACCGGCACCGCCTCCCTGCAGGTGGGCGCCCAGTGCTGCAAGGCTCCGATTCTTAGTGCATCTTTCCCTTCCCGTCTCACCATCCACTTTTCCCCGCTCCTCCTGCAGCATCACCCGGGACCCCAACCGGTTCCCCTCCGAGATCGCAGAGGCCCAGTGCAGGCACGCGGGTTGCATCAACGCCGAGGGGCAGGAAGACAGCTCCATGAACTCGGTCCCCATCCAGCAAGAGATCCTGGTCCTCCGGAGGGAGTCCCAGGGCTGCACTCGCTCCTTCCGGCTGGAGAAGGTGCGAGTGGCTGTTGGCTGCACCTGCGTCACCCCCATCGTCCGCTACGTGCGTGGCATGAGAGCCGCAGGTCAGCTCAGCTGAATAAGTCTTAGAGACGCCCCTTCTTACCCAGCTCTCTGCAAAGAGTCCTGTGTGGTTCCCAAATTCTCTCCACTTCCCCGGGGCTCTTCACAAGATCCACATGGCATCCCCAAAGCTCTGTATTAGATATAGTTGTAACTTTCTGGGGCTTCAGAATCTTAATATGGTTCTAAGATGTTCCAATGTCCCACGCCCCTGAAAAGAGATGGAGGAGGATGCGGGACCCTTGGCCCACTCGGCTTATTGCGCTATGATGACCACCTCCCCGCCATGCATCACTGGGTGGGATACAGTGCCACCTCCGGGGGCTCTGTTTGTAAAACGGGCTTTTGTTCCCCTTGGGTGAAATATAACCGCAATGTAAGTGTGGGAGGGGCTGTGCAGGACGGGGTGGGGCGGGAGGGACAGGGATAAGGACCTAGCACATGTTTACTAAGCCTTTGCTAAATATAGATGAGATTGGCCGGATATTTATATTTGCAAGGAAACTGTCCATGTATTTATGATGTATTGGTTACAGAAAATTCTAGGATAAAAAATAATATATCAACTACTAATATAATAAAGTATTAATGATTGAAAAATACTTTAGGTGTTTATTTCTGGTCTTAGCTTGTACCCACAGACCTTACCGCCCTAAAGATCATGCAATTCTATACACCTGTCATTAGTTTTTCATATTTCCTCATCAGAGCGCTATTGTCAGTTATATTTTATTATTATTACTACTACTGCTATTTGTGTGTGGTCCTGGTGATACTATTTTTACCCAACCTTATTGGGATATAATTGATAAATAACATGGTATAAGTTTAAGGTGTACAGTGTGAGGATTTGATATACATATATATTACGAAATGATTACCGCAATAAGGTTAGTTAACACCTCCATCCCTTCACATAGTTACTTGTGTGTGTGTGTGTGGTGAGAACATTTAGGGTGTACCCTCTTAGCAAATTTCAAGCATACACTACAGTATTGTTAATTAGAGCCACCATGCTGTACATCAGATTCCCAGAATGTATTCATTTTATAATTGAAAGTGTGTACCCTTTATCCAACACCTCCCCACCTCCCCCTCCTCTGACCCCTGGCAATCACCAATCTACTCTATTTCAGTGGGTTGGAGAGTTACTTTATCATTCATGGTTCTGGGGGTTTTGTTACATGGAGAGTTAAGGAAAAGGGTACAAACAGAGCTCACCTTCTCTGGTAACTCTTTACTGCTCCATCTTCCTGGTTACATTAGTATATAAAGTGAACATCTATTGGCCACTATGGTAGTCACCAGAGACAAGAAGAAAAGTAGAAGTAAGAAATGCACACGAGGGGCCTTGGTGTTGGTAGTGGCTGGTCATGAGGGCTGCGGTGGTCACTCTGCACCCAGGGTCCCTGGTTGTCTTTCATGTTTCTTGGGGACACAGGGGCTTCCAGTTTCTAGTCTCCCTGCAGCTCAAAGGTTTGGTCGTCCCTCTCTTGCCCAGATACATTCCATTTCCTCCTTCCCTGACGCCATACCACGGGCTCCAGGAACATGCCTTCCAGGCCCAGGGAGAGGATGGGGCAGGTTTTCTTCCTTCCACCTGCAGCTTGGTGGCAGGAGCCCATTTAAAACTCTTTAGCGTGGGCAAGTTTTATCTAGTCTGTAGATGGGGGAGGGGATGGGGATGGTATGTGGGCTCTTCTCTTTGCTTCTGAATCCTTTGCTTATGGAATAAACATTGCAGTTGGTCCTGAAAATGCTCAGCCTCTTGGAATCTAAAAAACATTTTCTCTTATTGCTATCAGCTTCGTAAGTTTGCTGTGAATCCCACAAGTCCATACTGGTGCTCAGATCTGTGCAACAAACCATCCTTTCTCTGTCCATTTTGGCAGTAATAGCCCTACCCTGAGGGTAGTACATATAAAAAACTTCGTGTGAGTGGTAGCAGAAGTATAGAGATAAAGGAAATGGCGGAGGAGAAAAATGACACCTCTGAATGGATCGAGTTATCCTGTTCCACATGGTCACATGTAATTTCAAAACAAGGTGCTAAAATCAAGGTGTGAAATTTTTTTTTTTAGCAGAACTTTTTTTTAGGTATACTTGGGCCGCAGATATACACATATACGCAAAAAAAAACCTTGTGTTTACAAACTCAATACTTTAAAAAGAGGCGTGGCCCACAGTAGTTTAAAAAGGGTGGGAGTGGAGATGGGGGGGCTTTATCACAGCAGTATTTAACAAAATTCAATGTACATAGTATGTTCTGTATAGCTAATCTTCAACATGAACAAGGTCAGCTTCGTATATTTACCCTTTTTTCTTTTCCCCCGATTGTACACAAGGGGAGGAGGCTTCTTGGTTTTACAGGCCACGTTTCTCTGAATGTGCTCTCCTTTGATCTTGGTATGTGGCAAGAGTGCGGGCCAGACTGTGATAAAACCAGTGGGCATCTTTCACATCCTGTGGGATTAATTCTACCTGGTTGGTGGATTTAGCTGCAACCCTAGAAGGTTCATTTCTCATGTCAAAGGCAAGGGAATCAGCATCAAACTCAAAGGCAGCTTCATCTTTCTGTTCTTCTGAATACAAGAATGTTCTTCCAACTAATCCTACTACATAACGATGCCTTTTCAAGAGATTAAGTTGATTTTGTTCTTGCTAAGTAAGGTCTTTTTCCGTTTCAGACGCATCTCTTTTAAGTTTTTTTTTTTTTTTTTTTTTTGCCTTTGAAACATTCTGTAGGGAGTTGGGTCCCACACGGGAAACTTCAGGAGGTTTAAGGTAGTACCAGGCCAAGGGGAGATGGTGGCCCTGTAGAGAGTCTCAGTGCCCTTGGCGATGCAGTCCTCGGACTCCAGGAGCGTGCTGAGGAGAGTGGACTTGCCGGCGTTGGTGGCGCCAACCAAGCAGACGTCGCGGCGGTAGCGCCAGGAGCACGGAGATCAGCTCTTCGACTCCAGAGCCAGTCCTGGCCCTGATGAGCTGCACGTCCCTGAGCACCGTGCGGAACTTGGTCGAAGGATTCGCATTCTCCTCCCCGTCCCAAGGCCGGTCCCTGCTGGGGTGTTGTGGCCTTCGGTAGCCAGGGGGCGGCAAGAGCCTGGCGCGGGCACAGTCGTCCCACAGTCGCTCCCGGAGCCACTGCAGGTAACCGGGAGTGTCCTGGGGCAGCACGATCAGCTGCTTGGGGCCCACCATTGCGGGCAGGTGGCGCAGCAGGGTGTCGGGCAGATGGAGCAGGTCCACCATGCCGAGCAACACGGAGGGCTCGGGCCGCCGCAGCGCGACA